TTTTTTTTTGGGACTACCGATCGCACGACCGTGGGTACCCCGAACGACGCGGCGCACTAACGGCCGCGCCGAAATCTTCAAGCAGGGAGAGGTACCGGTGGTTTAAACCGTCCTCACAAGAGCCCTCGACAGACGCTTGGTTTTCAAGAGGTGTCAGGCAGTTACCCTAACACCATGGTTGGATCAGCCAGACCATTCTCAAAAGTCTAGTCTTGAAAAAGGAGAAAGAGGTAGACCAGGTCCATTCGGCAAAATCATAGCACAACACTCTTGAGAAAATACGCCTGTTTTCAAGGGTTCATTTTTCAAGAGCGTTGTCGAGCGCATCGGTCCGGCACCACACAAGGCAGCGCGGGACCCTCCCGGCCACGTCACGCAGGAGTTAGTTTGAGTCCTCGTCGCGAATATACATGGAGCTTCCGCAAGCTGCTCCGGCAGAGTGCGCCAGCCCTACCTCTCGCGAGCCCCTACGACAGGATAAGGCCTACGTGAGGCACGACTTACCTCCACCTTACGGGAGCTGTCACCTCCCTTCGGTGGGCGTATCCCCGTCGAGCTACCAGTCCACAGTACGAAAGTTGATCAGCTGCAATCGCAGAGGTGGATCAGCCAAGGGCGTTTCTCGTTCACAGTAGCATAGGGGGTACGCGCGGTAGTACGCCTTTATCGGACCCGCTCGCGAACCGACATCTTGAGGGGCCGAGGTCCCAAGCGCGACTCTGCATCGGTCGATTAGGACGTATCCCTCTCACCACGCATACTCCACACTAAGAACACAAAAATAAAACACACACACGCACCTCAAACAACGTGACAACACTCCTAGTCCATTCAGTAGCCGTCCCATAACTTTCCGATGCGGAAATCGGATAGGCGTCACGTGCAAGACTTAGTATAAAACAGCGCGGACGCAGGGCTAAATCATATCAATTCGCAATGCAAGCCTACACAAGCAGTCGCAATGATGGCGTACTATGTAGTACCCATACTCATGTGGTCCTCGTTAATCTCGAGGGTCGCATTCGACACTCGAGTGCCGACTGACACACGCCTTGAGGGTTAATCTCTCGACGCTGGACAACCGCCAAGTGCGGTTGAAAACCACACCCTCTTCTGCACCCTGCGGAGAGTGGGTGGTACACAGGTTCACACATGTGGTGGCAACCGTCTCTTATCGCCCTGGACACCAGCTCCATCATCTAGGGCCTGGAGATAAGTCAAGGGGTTTGATTTTGACGGCTGCCACGGACTACAACGTCCAACTATAATAACTCTTAAAAAGCAAAAAAATACTAAGCCGAAGGCCTCCTTGTCCCAAAAATCACGACCTTGGGTAACTTTTCCGGTTGACACCAACGGCCTGTACTGATCCAGAGCACACATACATGTGTATGAATCCCTTAATCTCATAACTCTAGACGCTAGGACGATGAAACGTCGCGCGCAGGACTTTTATATAAGGTTGCGCGGTTGCAAGTTTGTCCTACACCAACTGGCGATGCTAGTCATACGGGGTAATCACAGTTCCGACCTCGCGATATTGAATGACTGAAGGAATATATCGTGAACGGTTATCCTTCACGATATTGAATGGCTGAAGAACATGTCGTTCAGCCCTCGCGACATTTCTACCCTTAGGGTTAGGTGTCTCGACGGGCAGGGCAGATAGGCTCTACGCACGGGAAGGTTCCTTCTCTGCAGAGTTTAGGGTCTGGGGCGTCCTAGACAAGGACCTCGAATCCAAGCCCAGGACTAACGTCCGGCTAAGAAATCCCTAAGAAATACATAACGATATAAAGGGTTTTTTTTTTCCTCTCTCGGCCCCAACCCCGATTTTTACCCTTAAGCGAGGCCCGCTTAGGCCGCACAGACACTCAATATAATTACACACACATATATCGGGGTAAGTATGTGACGATCACTTCTCACAGTCACAGTGGGATTCTTCACAACCATATGTGTACGTGCGATCGCAGACAGTCAAATGCAAAATCCGAACTACAACACATACCTTCAATCACATCAAAAAATCAAACAAGAACCCATGCACTACACGGAGTTAACCCCAACCACTCTCTATAATCATACCTTTTGCTTTAGCCATGCAAACCCCAACCTTCTGTCCAACCAACCATAATTAAATACTCAGCACCTTTCTTAAATGACCATTCAATAAACGTCAAAGTGAAACCTTAACAAAATAATAAAATCACCAAGGCTAAAGTCTTGAGTATTGAGGGTGAGTTGGAATTGAGTCATAAACCGACGAATCGACAACCGACCTATTATCTGTGATAACAGAAGATGATCCTCAAGGGATCAAGCTGACTCTAGTCCAAGTCATGAATCAAATCGATCAAGTTGGCCTGTAACAAAAGACAGGTCAACGCTCAAGACTAACCCTATCAATCCTATGGGGAATAATCTTCATATCATGGTCTTACTCAAATCATCCTATTTAACTATGACTAAATCTACCTCTAAGCAAGTGTCAGAGAAAGAGGTAGACCTTTGACAAAATTTTCTCTATACAGAGTGGATTGCCAAAACTGCCACCTGTCAAAATATAATCTAACTCCTCTAAATTAAGAAAAATTCGGCAACGCTTCCCGTAGGAAAAGTGTCTTTTCAGAGTTTATAGAAGCCCAAACATGAAAACAAAAATTGTCTTTGACTGGCCCAAGTCAAATTTTGTCTAACTCCCCAAATTAGCAAAAATTTGGGCAGCACTCCCTCTAGAAAATGAGACTTCCCAGATTTTTACTAAGCCATGTATGAGATTCAGACAAGTTGGACTTTGGAAAGCCAAAATTTGATTAACTCCTTGGATTTGCAGAAATTTCGGCAGCGCTTTCCGTA